CCCCCCTCACAATAAATAAATGTTAAAAAAATATTTAAAAAATAATAATAAAAATAAAAGTCCAATCTACCTAGTGAGATCTTATAGTCCCTATAGACCCAGTCCTAAATACAGAAAGAAAAAAAAAAGAACAAATAATTTAGGGCTCTTGGGCCTACATATGCATTAAAAAACCACTTCTTGGACACACTCAAGTTACTTTAAATTTCTTTTTTTCTTTTTTTTCCTTGCGGAACCGGGGATTGAACTCAGGCCCTTGTGTTTGCCAGGCAGCACTTATTCCAGTGAGCCATCTCCTCAGCCCCTATTTTAAGTTTTGGAAAGAGCACAGGAATGGCCAAGGAGTGCAGTGCCAAGAAGAGCTCTTGAACAGATATCTAAAGGTTTGAATCTTACACGTGAACACTGAACCCACAGTGGTTAAATAAATTGAAGCCTTGGGCCGGGGAGATGGCTCAATAGAATAAGTGCTTGCGTGGCAAGCACAAGGGCCTGAATTCAATCCCTGGTTCTGAAAAAAAAAAAAAAAAAAAAAAAATTAAAGCCTATCATTTCCTAAACCACCTGTTTTTTAACCATTGAGGTATTTCAAAGCTTGCCTTTAGGAGAATTTCTCTTTTCACCTTTACAAAACTCTGGAGTAACATAATGCCAACCAGACAGTATATCATAAGCATAGACACTTTCCTGGAGAGGTTGGTAACCCCCTACAGTTGTCATGTACATGCATGATAGGATTTAATATTTACCTTTTTTTTTTTCCTCAAAGATTTGCACAATTTCGAATTGTTCTTGGAGATTTTGACTTTGCTGGCATTCAGCAAGCCAACTGGATCTTGGGACCCATTTACTTCATCACTTTCATCTTTTTTGTGTTCTTTGTCTTGCTGGTAAGAATGGCCATATATTTTCTTTCTGGTTTTGCTATATTTTTTAGAAAAATAAAATTATTTTATTTATTTATTTATTTATTTATTTATTTATTTATTTATGTGGAACCGGGGACTGAACTCAGGCCCTTGAGCTTGCCAGGGAAGCACTAATGCTACTGAGTCATCTCCCAGGCCCTAGAAAAATAAAATTAGAAGAAACTACAGAATTATTGCTTTCCTGACAGAACATTTGGCATTTATTTATTTATTTATTTTTAATTTATTTTGGTGGAACTGAGATTGAACTCAGGCCCTTGCGCTTGCCAGGGAAGCGCTTATTCCACTAAGCCATCTCCCCAGCACATTTGACATTTATTAAGAATATTGGGGGGCTAGGAAGATAGCTCAGTAGAACAAGCACTTGCCTGGCAAGTGCAAGGGCCTGAGTTCAATCCTGGGTTCCAAAAAAAAAAAAAACCAAATGTTGGGCTGGGGAGACAGCTCAGCCAAGTAAGTACCTGCCTGGCAAATGCAAGGTCCCAAATTCAATCCCTGGTAAACATGCCATGTCATTCCATAACCAGGTATGGTGGCACATGCCTGTAACCCCAGCGCTGGGGAGGCAAAGACAGGAAGACCACTAGGAGACTGAATTGCATACCGAGACATTGTATCAAAAAAAAAAAAAAAATTAAAGAATGTCACAGATTCCTAACAATCACAATCTCTAGTGTAGTAACTTTTCGCTTGTCCAAGGGGGAATGTGATCCTATTTAACATCTGGATATGTATGTTAGCCAGGAATATACTAAACCCTTTACAGTACCTTTCCTAGTTGTCTTTAGGCTGGGGTCATCATACGAAGAAATTTCAGCTATCAAAACATGCCCAGCTAGGCCCCACCACGTCTGGTCTACTTGAGCTTGCTCCTTAAGGCACTGTTTGTTTGGGGTTTTTTTGTTTTGTATTTTAGGGAAGGGTCTACAAGGTGTTTAGGGTCTCACTACTAGATCAGACTCGTAGTGATCCACCAGTTTACAGCCTCCCAAGAGCTGGGATTACAGGTATGAGCCACCATGCCCAGTCCCAATTGCAGTATCAGCGCGCCCTGCACCTGCTTACAGGCATTTTGATCCACTGAGCTATTTGGCCGGCCCTTGGCACTGTTCTTGTTCTCCATGAAAAACAGTCCCCAGACAGCCACAAGTCCTCAGGGTAACAGCCCTGCTATAGAGTTAAAGGTGGAAAGCTGGGCTGAGAGCAAGAATATCATCTCCACATTTGTGTTATCTGGGCTTTAGCAGTTGTAAGTATATTAGTACAGTTTCACTTCATAGAACTAAAAACCTTCCCAAGAGAAGGAAACAAAGAAAATTAAGATGTGCTACCTAAATGTACCAACTCCCCATGATGAATGTAATCATGTACTGCAAACATATACTAATAAATATAAAAATTAAAAAAGAAAAAAATTCATAGAATTTATTTTTTTTTCAAAGTTTTATTGATAAACAGATAGCAATGAGACAGTTTCAAATCAAATCGGAAGGACAGTTTCAACAAATAATACACTGCATATATTCTTAGTGGTTAATTGCTGTACAAGATGCGGAC